TAGACACCCTCCTCCTCCACCACCGGATCCTTTTGCACCTCCTCCACCACCAGATCCTTTTGCACCGCCACCTCCTCCTCCACATCGACCCTTTGACAGCCCACCACGTCGTCGTTTTGCACCACCTCCTCCACCTCGGCCCTTTGACCCTCCACCACCAGATCCTTTTGCACCACCACCCCCTCCGCCAAGACCCTTTGGTCATCAACCACCCCATAATCACCACCATCCACCTCCACCTCCACCTCCTGGACCTCCTGGACCCCCTGGTCCTCCCCCACCACCATTCTTTGATCCTTACAGGCCACCACCTCCTCCTTACTAGCAAGCACTAAAATTCTATACACTTCGGCCTGCGTACGTATATTATATAACCTAGTAACCTTCCGTCCTCTTATCTTGCCGATGTGCAAGATAGATTTGTAAAGTATTGGATTTGGATGTGCAAGAGGTTGTTTGCCACACAAGGGAAGAGAACAGGAAGCCATCCATCTGCTATTCATGGATCAAGAAAGAGAGGTGTGTGTATACACACACATATAGAATGGTTTTTCAAGTGTGTACTTGTCAGTATTGTTATCTTCTTCTGTCACAATGTACTTTTATGATTGATGTGCTTCTATGATCAATAAATCATTTGTATTTTGCTCTGTTGACTTTGAAATATATTACAATTTGTTCAATTCTCATGTTCTTAGTCACTAAATTTTATGCTTATAAGGTAGTAGAAAAATAAATCTCAACCAAAACCTTATTTTCTTCTACAAATTCGACAATATGTACTTCAATAGAGTTAATCAAAGCTGAACTTAGGATACCTTCACCGCCTTGAGATGTGAATGGATGAAAATGGAATGCTTCAAAGACGTTCTTTTACCAATGTTACTAAGCTCAATCCAGGAAAATAATAATTATGAAAACAATTTTGTTGCATCGGCAACGATTCCGACATGGTGACACTGGAATTCCAGGCTCTGTTAGAAGCAGAATACGAACCTTTAAGCTACAAACCCATCTCGCTCCCGGGAAAATAAATATCGACAGCGGAAAGTTTCTAGCAACATATGTAGTTACTTACCAGGTCAAACTTGTTGCTAAGGAGTACGAATTCGATATGCTATGTAAACCTTCTATATGTGGCAAGAACGTTATTTTGTGCTTCCACGGAGTTGAATTATCTCAAGTTCTAGCATGGAAAGACATGTAGATAATGAATCGGAAAAAAAAAAGACGATTACTAGAATAGCAGTGATTTGTCAAACTCATCATCAAGCACATTGGTTCTGTCAGGTTTTTTATTTTGATCAAGGCAATTCGTCATCAGTCGAACATGTCCCCTCAGAGATCCTCTTCCTTGCCTCTGATGCCTGCAATGTCCATGTGCAGAAACAAATTTAGTCATAATGCTTGAACAACTCTCCTATTTAGTCGCGGTGGGAGCGACCAACTTCCATTTATTTCCAGCAAAGATAACGCAAGCTTCAGAAAACAGCATTATTATACGAAAACAGATTTCCAGGATGAGGCAATCGAAGCTGAAATAGGAAGATATGAAGAAGAGGAATCGATGCAAGAACCTGCTTTTGCCAATTGATCAATGCAGTTATGACAACATATGATGTTGCCTGCACAGTAGTCCCAGTTAATATTCCAATCCAAAGGCCTTTCGCTCTGAGATGCGCAACAAAACACAGTAGAACAGCTATTGGAGCTGCAACTAAATCATATGCCCCCAGGTTGACAAAGGCACCTATGTGTTGCCACCCGCATCCTCTAACAATCCCTGCCTCCAACAAGGTGCTAGCATTAAGGCTAACCAAAATAGAAGGAAAGGGTATTTTCCTTTTCCTTTTCCTTTCATCTTGAAAACATAACATGTGAAAACATATCACTGCGTGGATTGAAATAATCACATGATCTAGTCCAAAGTTACTTATATGATGCTCTCCATATGTAGTAATAGTTAAATTTGAAATACTGGAAACTGACCAGAAAGTACTATTTGAAAGCTATCCATGATAATTGAGAGACAAAGCAGGGGAGCCAATTCAGCAACATAGTCCACTACTCCCTTGTCATTGCTAAAAGCATATCCAAAAATGTGGCGGCAGAAGAAGAGAGCTGTACTCACTATAACTGCTTCGGTAGCTGAAAGGATCAGTGATACGTAGACAACTCCTCGAGCTGTCTCTGGATTTCCTGCTCCTAATTCATTCGAAACCCGAGTGCTGCAGAAATGATGATGAATTATAGGAATGCCAGTAGATAATACACAGATTTTTCTTATCCGTGCAAATGCCTATATGCTTAAGAAGATAAGGTATAAATCGAACCTTCCAGCTGCAGAAATTCCATATTGTACATAGTAGTGCAAGGATACGGTTGTCAGACTGATCATAAAGATTGAAAATCATCAGAAGAATTCCCTGTTGAATCTACCGATATAAAGTTTTGGTAAAGAAGAATACCAAACAGAAAGAACAGATGTTTCCAGCTTGGAATCAGGAAGAAGCCCGGCCAGCAACAAAAGTAGCTCAAACGTCCACCACTCAAGGCTGAGCATGGAAAGAACATATATAGCTAGATGAATTAATTAAGAATTCAAAGAAGACAACGGAAACCCCAAGTTCTTGTTAATGAGAAATTACCAAACCATTGCAGCAGAAGGGAAAGCAATGTGCAGAAACTCCTTTATGCTTGAGAAAATATCATCCAAGTAAAGACCCCGGGTTTTCTCACAACACGAAGAGAACGCCATGTAAAGTGCAAGAAAGAACACATTTAACCAACAAGACAAACCAATGGCTAACGCTGCTCCAATGTACCCTAATTCCCATTTATAAACTAGAGCCCAACAAAGAGGGATATGGATACATGCAGTTGCACAGTTGCTTAAAAGCATTGGGAGAACCATGCTTTGACACTGGAAGTAGCGAAGCAAAGGAATAAGAATCGCATTGGCAAATAACGCAGGAACTAGACAAATCGCATATTTGCGGGCTACAATGGAGATATCAGAGTCTATTCCTATTGTTATTAGTATCCTGTCCATGAATATCCAAAGAACAGATATGGGAAGACAAATTGGAATGAGTGATATCATTGCGCCATAAGTGTAGCTTCCGAACTTTTTATATTGCTCTGCTCCATAAGCTTGACCACAAAGAGTTTCCAGACCCCCAGCTAATCCAATCTGCTTTTCACATAGAGATACCGTCAATTAATTGTAATACAGGCAAGTTTGAACAATAATTCAGAAACTTAAGAATAATGGCCATAATGTAGGGGGATTAGTTCTCTATGGAATGATTAAGGATGACTTAGTGCATACAATGAAAGAGAGACGAGAAGGCTTTACCACGAGGCTGAAGCCAGTGACATTGGTGAAAGAAGTAGCAATGGAGACCCCAGAGAGAGACAGTGCACTAAGGTGCCCTGCCATCATCATTGATATAACCTGCAATAGGTACAGTGTCATCGCCACCAACATCAGCGGAGCTGCCAAGGAGCTCATCTTCTTTAGCTCTTCGACGAAGGCACCCCATGTTAGTAAAGACGCCCTCTCCTCAGTCTTGTGCAGTAGTGCGTGGTCCATCATCTTCCCTTTATGTTTCCCTAAAGGACCCTGTACGAGTACTAATTGAAATGTCTCTGTACATGGCTTCTATTCCTATTTAACCATTTCTTCTTTGTTTCTCCTCTCTGATGGATCTCTTCGTCATCTAGCGTTGCTTCGGTGTGGAAAGAAGATTAGCTGTGGTTCAATCTCGCCAATAACTTGGTTAATAAACAGATAATGTGGAGTTTTCATAAAATTATGGTCAACACCTAGAACCGTGGATAACATATTTTTTTGACACCATGACTTGACCAGGTCCTAAATACCTAATCCAGGTCGATGAACTACAGGATTCAGAATATCTCTGGCAAAGTATTGGTTTTCGTCTTAATAAAACCATGGTCTTATTGACAATACATCAAAATAGCGTTTTTTACATGATGTCTCATTGACGTTGCTAAACTACTTTTGAAATTTTCTATAAATAATAGTGGATTTATTTGAATTTTCTTTAATAACAATTTTTTTTAATAACAATTCCTTCCGAGCCATTGCTATCAAACCAGGCTCAAAGCTCAGGTAGCAAGTTTTGGATTATCTCGTAACCTAGTATATCTCAAAATAACATGGGTTTAGATAAACAGTTTTTTTTAAATAATTTATTTTAAATTTTTTTAAATTAATTCAATCAAATTTTTTTAAATTTAATTAAGTTATGATTTTAATGTAATTTAACCAAGTAAACTTTTTAAAAATGTAAAAAGCAAAGGCCTTGGGCCTCGATGAAACTATCTATTATAAAGTCACATTAAGAACTTGAAATGAAGAGAATTTAGTTTCCAATTGCAACGTTTTTTTCTCTAATTTTGATTAAAATTGTTTGAAAAGTTATTATGTTACCATGCTTTCAAAAAATTATAAATCTGAACTTTCTCACAATTAAAAAAAAAAAAAGAGGAGTTGTGAGCATATTGTAAATTTTGATTTTACATAAATATATTACAGAATTTCTAAATGTATATGTAAATGCCCACCAATTTCTCATTCATCAGAATCTCCACAGAAAACCTCCTTTCCCTGACTGAATTTTTTTGGTTGAAATTTGATTTTTTTAATAATTTTAAATTGTTTTAATATATTGATATTAAAAATAAATTTTAAAAAAAATATTTTAATATTTCTTAAAAAATATTTTAAAAAACAACCCCCGTAAAAAACACTCATCATTTTTACCTTTTCATTCTAGTTTCCTTCCTGCGGCTATAATGGAACCTTGTTCTTCAAATTATTTTATGATCTATTAGAACTAGATAACAAAACTAACTGAGCATGAAAAGGGAAGACAGGATATAGCTCCTTTTTGGCAAATTGAAAAGGCAGACAGGATATTAGTTTGGCATCAGGACAATCTTAAAAACTACCATCAAGCAACAATCTCACAAGAACAAGCAAAAATGGCAATTGAATTGCTTTATCTGGAGATATGAAAAAAGGGAAAAGAAGTAAATGGTTTTTTCATATTTTATTTTCTGTTGATTGTCTTCGAAATTCAAGCCAGTCCATTATCAGCTAAAAGTGACCTCCCAAGAATCGTCTCCTTCGCCTCGGTTGCCTGCGTTGTTCATATACACGCAGAAGTAAAAATTAGTGACAATGCTTAAAGATCTTCATTTGATAAAATAGCCAGTTTAGATTTATTAAAGAGAAATACAGAACCAGAATTATTTTTTTTCAAAATCACGAAATACAGGACAACGTAAAGCAAACAGAAATTAGAGAATGAAAAAAATCTTATAAGAGGGGAAAGGGCATCATAAGAACCTGTTTTTGCCAATTTGTCAAAGCAGTTATGGAAGAAAAACACAAGGCTTGAACAGTCTTTCCTATTAATAGTCCCATCCAAAGTCCTCTGCTTCCAAGATGCAGCACAAAACAAAGAACAACAGCTACTGGAGTTGCGACGAGATAATATGCTCCAAGGTTGATAAATGCTCCTATATGCTGCCACCCACATCCCCTGGCAATCCCTGTTTCCAAAATGTGTGCAAAATTGACAAGTATCAACCACAACTATCAGAAACTAAATGTCAGTGGCTCTACTGCTTTCCCTTTTTCTTTGTTTTCTTCTATGTTATACGGCGTTAGCCCTGAAAAGTGTTGAGTTCAGTCCAAATTACTTGCATGGACTTCTGTAAGTGAGGAAATAGTTCACTTTGAAATGATGGGAAACTGACCAGAAAGTACGGCCTGTAAGCCTTCTATGATAATTGAGAGACACATCAGCGGAGCAAGTTCAGCTACACAGTCCACAACTCTCTTTTCGCTGCTGAAAGCATAACCAAAAATGTGACGGAAGAAGAAGAGAATCAGGCTCACTGTAACGACCTCCACGAGAGACATGATCAATACTACCTGGACAGCAACTTGTGCTGCCTGAGGATTTCCAGCTCCTAACTCGTTTGAAACCCGAGTGCTGCCAGTGAGATGTATTGTTGTAATGCATGTAGATTATTTACTTAAATTTACGAGCCTTAATTAGGAGACAAGTTGAAAATCAAACCTTCCAGAGGCAGCAATTCCATATTGTACATAGAAGTGCAATGTTGTGGTTGCGAGGCTGATAGCGTAAGATAAAATTTTAATCAGACGCGTTTTTCCTTTTTATAAATACTTATAATATATCAGCAAGAGAACTTACCAAATAGAAAGAACTGAAGTTTGAAGCTTTGGATCCGGGAGAAGCCCAGCAAGTAATATAACTAGCTCATAGGTCCACCATTCAAGACTATGAACGTTGACATGAAATTAACACGTACAAAACTAAATAAGAATTCAGAGCAGAAAAGCCAAAAGCTGATCAGAAATAGAATGTAGAATTTACCAAATCATGACAGCAGAAGGGAAAGAGCAGAAAAGCCAAAAGCTGATCAGAAATAGAATGTAGAATTTACCAAATCATTACAGCAGAAGGGAAAGCGAAGCGAAAGAACTTGTTAATGCTTGAGAAAATATCATCCCAGTAGAGTCTCCTAGTTTTCTCACAGGATGAAGAGAACACCATGTAAAGTACAAGCAAGATAACATTTAACCAATAAGACACTCCAATGGCCAATGCTCCTCCAATGTTTCCTAGTTCCCATTTATATACTAGAGCCCAACAGAGAGGGATATGGAAACATAGAGCTGCACAGGTGCTTACAAGTATTGGGTAAATCAAGCTCTGAGTCTGGAAGTAGCGAAGTAGTGGTTGAAGAATAGCGAAGGCAAATAATGCAGGAATGAGCCAGATCGCATACTTGCAGGCTACAGTTGAGATTTCAGAGTCTATGCCTACTGCTATTAATAACCTGTCCATGAAAGTCCAAAGAACAGACACAGGGATACTTGTTACAATGAGAGAGATGATTGCACAGTAAGTATAGCTTCCGAACTTCTTGTATTGCTCTGCTCCATAAGTTTGGCCACATAGAGTTTCTAATCCTCCGGAGAATCCAGCCTGCTTGGTATTTGAAGGAAAATATTACCAAACAGAACTCTTTGAAATGAAACAAGACATCTTTAGTATAAGGATTTTTTAGCCTTCTTTGCACCTTATAAATGATATTTTTGTCCATGAGTCTATCTCTGGCCTAGATCATTTTCGATGCAAAACTTAGATATATATTAACTGATAGAGAACTCGTAGTTCAAGATTCTCTATGTTTCTGGCCTAGATCAACGTTAACTATATTTCTCTCCCATCAAGAAATGTGAGGTCTCTGGGTTTTACACAATAAAAAATAACTGGTTCTCTACATACATATCGAAAAGAGAGGCAGGATTCTCTATATATAATATAAATCAGATAAAGAAAAGTTGCAGAATATATAATGAGTAGAAGTAGAGGAGGGATGGCTTGAATTTACCAGGAGACTGAAGCCGGTGACATTGGTGAAAGAGGTAGCCATTGAAACCCCAGACAGCGACAATTCACTCAGGTGCCCTGCCATTATCATTGATACAACCTGGAGTAGGTATAGTGTCACAGACACCACCGTCATTGGAGCTGCAAGACAGCTCACCCTTCTTAGCTCTTCCACTAAAGCATCCCATGTTAGTGCCCATCTCTTCTCCTCGGTGGTACTCTTGGGAAGCAACGTCTGATCCATACTTTTTCTCTCTATGCTTCCCGGTGCTGAAACTTGAAAGGAGAACTAATTGAAATGATGGATTCTGTATGAATAACAGACAAGAAAACATAGGAAAACAGAGGTGGGGGAAGACGCGAGAACTCAAGATTCTATCTATATTTTTTTTTAACAAAGCTGAAATAGAATCCAGAAGGAAAACAGAGATGGGGGAGACGCGAGAACTCAAGATTCTATATATTTGTTTTTTAACAAAGCTGAAATAGAATCCAGATTTTCTAATTAGGTTGAATTCTTTTAATTTTTAATTGAATTCTTTTTATTTAAAACAAATCTAAAATGATTGAATTCAACAATACTAATTCATTTTCGGTCGATAAATTATAGTTCAATTGAAATTAGTGTCCATTCTTAAGAAAGGTTTCGATTTCGAACCTTCTTTTTATAACAAATTTTGTTAATTACACAGTAATAAAAGAATTTAACAATTAATGATGCTGCCAAATTTTACACAAGCAAATCGAATCTTCTATATATATATAAAAGAAAAATTATTTAAACATTCGATGAAGATTACTTTTTCATATTTTTTTATTTAAAAATACATTAAAATATTTTTTTTATTTTTTAAAATTTATTTTTAACATTACCATATCTAAATGATTTAAAAATATATATAAAAAATCAATTAAAAACTAAGAAAATCTCTAAAAAAGAATCAATTAAAAACTAAGAAAATCTCTAAATTTTTTAAAAATATGATTGAATCAAAATGCCAGATAAAATCATGTGAAAATAAAATAATTTGATAATCACGTTATTTACGGGGAAGTGTCTTGAAGTATTTTCCTTATTGTCCACGACCACATGCTTGTGATTCCAATGCACCTATTTGCATACATGTATTTATCCCTTTGTTCTTAAATTCCAAAGCAACATGCTAACCATATACGGCTAATTTTAGACAGATATTTTAAGCAGGTGAGATGACTGTAACTTCTATCTTATCTTCTAACAGCATGCTCTAGCATGCATCCCCTCTGTTTCTTTTTCTTCTCTCTCTCTCTTCAATTATGGAAGGTGATTACAGAAATTAAATGGTAAGATTGATGCATGAGAGTATGCTTTGCTGTTGTATCCATTGGTCTATTGAAATTTTTTGTGCTACATGAAAAATTTCAGTATAAAACTATTTATATGTTTTGGTGTGATATTAAATTTCCCAGATTGATGCATGATATCTGGGAATTTTTACGCTGGCAGTTATTCTATGCGAGTTGGGGTGTTCTAAGCCAAAATTTCTCCCCAAGAACACCATTTATTGAATATTAATAAGTGGATTGAAACACATATTTCTCCAACTTTGAATTTCCAGCCTTGATTACAGACGAGGCTTGTTCACATGCTCACATGGGATTCCACCTAACTCCCATTTTGTGAGAACAAAATACAGCTAGACAACAAGTAGGGAAAAAGACAAAATTATTGCTCACAAAAGTTTTCGCACATGAAACTTGATTCGTATTTGATTACTGAATAATTATCTTTAATATATTTTATTTCTTAAAAAATAGACAACTCACTCCTTAAATAGATAACTCTCTCTACTTAATAGCCTGTTTCTCCAGACCTTGAATCCTTTCACTAACTGTTTGTTGTCCTCTGTCTTCGCCCATATTTTTGTCCCCAATTGACCTGTAAATTTTGTTCGAGCAAAACCCTCCTAGCTAGCCACTGTCCTTTTGATAGCCAATTGCCTGATAGTTTAAAGAATGCTCAACGCCAACATTCTGAGTTGACATCAACGAAATCTTCAAGAGCTGCATTTTTTATCCCTCCTAACATCTCAGCACAGATCTTCCCTTGTTGTTGCCTTAGCACAGATCCAGAACTGTTTTTGCAAGTTCTCTCCCTTGTGTGTCTTTCTCCACTTGGCAAGATCGATGTGTTAGAACAGAGTAACATTTATGAAGAATAAGTAAGTTTTGGGAGAAGTAATCTTATTTTAATTGAAACCAAGTGTTGGCTATATATATAGCCTTACAAGTAACGTAAAACTGAAATAAAACAACCCACATGAAAGCAAACTTTATGAATGTGGTTACAAGCTAATAAATAGATCAACATAACATGCACTCCCTAATCAATAGGGATTTAATTAGAAATAACTGACAACTTAACACGATGTGTCTGCAGGCACATCTTCGATGCTTTCTGCTTACAGCATTAATTCATGAACAGAAGCTAAAAGTCCTGAAAAAACAAATATCATTAAACATCAGTTAACAGTTGTTATTGGCTTGCCTTTCCCATCTGATATAATTGTCCATCCATCAAAACACATAATTTGAACTGCAGAACTAACCATATTTCTAGCAATTCATCTGCATAGTCGTCATTCATTCTTATGAATTCCTGTTTCACATCCCCTAAAATAACTTCTTTCATCCAATCTCTGTACGTTGAACTACTGTCATGGTCATGTGGAATGAAAAATCTTTCAAAGTTTGATCCCTTATGTCTTCCAACTTCTTTCTCAATTAAAGTTTACCCACCTTGTCTGTAAAATGTATCCCAACAACACCTATGCTCGTTCACTAGAGTCTCCACCATCCATTCTAGAATGTTGCCATCAATAGACACCCTAATCTTCCATGGACATTCCCCATCATGGCACTTATAACAATCACCCTATTCTCATCACTTTTGAAAACCCTAATATCCGTCTGTTGTTTAAGTGAGTGTTTAGTTTAGGAAGTCACCAGTTCCTTATCTACGAAAATCATATCTTGTTGGAAATGAGGCTCTACAGTGTATGGGTCATAATTCTAAACTCTCCCACACCTCCTTATTCCATGTTCTTCTTAACTGTCCTAGCTGATTGTCAAATATTCATTTACTCCGTGTTCATTGCAAACAACCTTAGAATTCAGATGAGCAAGCACTAGGTAAATTTTATCACCATGTTCATAATATATACCAACAATATCACTTACATTAAACATATTTCCTATAGGCTCAACACTTCTATCATCATAAACAATCCTCAGAAACCCCCCCCCCCCTCTGTTGAATCACTACAGTAAACTTTGCCTGGGTTTTTTCTACCATAATCTTTGGCAAGACCGCTAAATTTAAAAAACGACACAGTTCATCTGGGCCAGTCATGTGTATTACTTCTTACTATTAGGTTCTTACCCTCACAAGAGACTGTTTGTTAACCCTCTGTCCCCCAGTGACCCTTTTGCCAACCTCACCGAAATGGAGCCTAAAGTCTCTCTATTTCTCTACAAATTATCCAACTTTCGAGTCTGAGAAGCCTAATTTTTTTGTGTCAGATATCCTTAGCAAAAAGCTAACCTTCTGTCACTTGAAGTTGAAGCTCCTTAAATTCCTTTGGAATTTTAACAATTTTGATTCTTAGAAATAATTAAAAGTGTAGATTTTTTTCTGAAGGCGCACAAAATTTGGTATTGAGGGAATCTTTAATAATTCCAAAACAAAAGTCCCACATCACAACAAAAATCAGCAACATCATTTACTATTCTTCTCAAATTATTGTTTTTGAAAATTTATTTTTCAATTACAAACCCTTTATGAAGTAGCTTAAAATTTTTCAAATTTACAATGCCATCCAAATTGTAAAAACCTCTGCCACATTTTCTTGCATGCACGAGAAGAATGAGGGGGTGCGCATATAAACATCTAAATGGATTGATCAAGTTTCTGTCCGAGCCACTGATACTTCCGTACAATATTCAAGGCAATCCATTATCAGCAGAAAATGTCCTCTCAAAGATCCTCTCCCTTGCCTTGGTTGCCTGCGATATTGACATGCATACAGAGTCAAAATTAGTGTTCTTGTATAAAGAACTTCATTCCATAAAACAATCAACATCTTCTATCCAAAACAGCAAGTTAAGACTAAATCAGTGCTTGCACAATACTCGTATGTATGAGCAGAACCTGTTTTTCCCAATCTGTCAAACCAGTTATGAGAGCAAGTAATGTAGCTTGCACAATATTCCCAGTAAGTGTCCCGATCCAAAGGCCTTTCCCTTCGAGATGGAGAATGAAGCACAGTAGAACAGCTACTGGAATTCCAACAAAATAATATGCTCCAAGGTTAATATAGGCCCCTATGTGCTGCCACCCACATCCTCTAGCAATTCCTGTGCCCAAAACAGTTCTAGCTTTAGTACCAGACGTGCCATATGCAAGAAACATCATTCGGTATCATGTCTTGTTTGTAATAATTAAAGTTGGTGGATTATGGGGTTGAAACACAAACAATTCAGATATTTCACAATGTAGATGCATGCGGGGACGGAATTAAGAGGAGGGAAGTAGGTGTCTCAGCCCCACAGAGAAAAAATATGATGACAAACTCTGTAGGTTAGCTTTGTATTGCTTAATAATAGTGTGAGAAGATGTAATAATTCAATAGGTTGGCCTTCTAATAATAAATATATTTGTTGTATATTTACTTTAAAACTATCTACATCGGAAATCGGACAAAAGAAGAAGTTATAAATAATTGTTTTAACTTAATGGATTTTATCGTTCTTTGGCTGCAGCCCTAAAATAAAAGATAAAATACTAAAATATAAATATAAATCACAAATAGATAGATTGAAGCAGATAGCCACTAATTAATTCTTTCTTTATTAAAAAATCAAGGTAATTGAGTATCTCTAACCCTTAACTTGAAATTTAGTTTGTTTTGTTATGGGATATTTGTTAAAAATTTGATAAAAAATTTTTATAATTTTTTTATTTTTGTTATTTTTATTTTTATTTTTTTGCTTGGATGTGCTAATTTTACCAAATTTGCTATGAATTTCCAATTGATAGGATAATTAATAATTTTTATTTTATAAAAAAATGACTAGCATAGTTAAAATAAATATGTAAGAATTATTTTTTATTATTTTTTATTTTATTTCAAAGTTTATCAAATATAAAAAATGCTTCATTTTATTTAATATTTTTTATATATTTTATATGTTTATATTTAATAAATATACAAACCAATAAAATTAAAATGATGAATATATTATAAAAAAAAAATTAATTTTATCACTTTTACTTAATTTGATATTAGACAAAACGTTTTACCGTATGAAAACTTTTTACTATTTTCAAAGGTCATTATATATTTATATATTTTTATA